GCTCGAACCAAAATCGAGGATTCTAAGCAAGATCGAGCTCACACTGAATGTTTATTTTATTATACTTGGAGCCAACTAGAGGGAATCTTGACAGAAATTATGGTAAAGCTGATTTATCATGGGTATCCCACTGAATGTTTATTTTATTATACTTGGAGCCAAACCCTTTTCACTATAAAAGGGCTTGTTTTATCTTTCTTGGAGGACAGCTTTCTGGAGACTTAGACTATCAAAAACTGTATTATTTCCTCTATAAGGAAGAGTGATCTTTCTAGTTTCTTAGATTGATTCTATTTTGTTAAATCCTAAATTCACTGTTCATAATTGATTCGCCTGGATTACGTTTTCTCTAACTCATATTCATCCTTTTATTTATCCCAACATTCTGTGTTAAGTTGTACCACATATCTTCGGAATTGCGTATAAATTCAACTATATTCATTTTTCGGGTAAACACAACTAATTAATCGCCTAATCGAAATGGGTAATGAACGGCGGTTGCTCACGAGAATATCGATATGTATAAGATGGCATAGAGTCCTATTTTGCATAGGGTAAGGAAGTCTACGTGTTCATCACTTCCAGGTGGCGACAAATAGTTCAAAAAGAAAGTAATTGTCGTTGGTAATATAAGACCACAAAATTCAGCTATCCAAGAATCCAAATGGTGCAAGAAAAGAACTTGGTGCATCAAGAAGGGGCACGTGGTATCTCTACACGGAACTGGCAGTTAAATTGATGTCATGTTAAATAGAAACAAAGATTCTAGTTATTAAAACAATTATTGCAGCGAAGAAATTCCATGTATTTTGGTCTACGTGGAAACTGATGGTCTTTCCCATAGTCATTATGAACCATCAACTGCAATACAATCATTTTTTCAATTCAAGGAAGAAGCATGTCCAAACATGAATCACATGGGTATCTTGTTTGATCAGACAAGATGAAAGACATCGACACCATCCTATGACAGAGAAGTGATAACTTTTATTCTCGGTGCTTTGGTGATCACGTCCTAGAGAGCACTCAAGAATACAAATACATGTAATCTCTAAGTACTTCAAGCCTAGTAGAATGGAGTGTGGCAAATTCATTCTCCTCACAAGTCTTTGAAGCATGGGTATTTATAGGCATATAAATTTTATTAAAATTAAATTTATAAAATAATTTGGACTATATTTTAAATTTAAAATATATTAGTCCAAATAAATATTATGGGCTAATATAATTGAATTAATTATATAAATCTAATATATATATGGATTAAATAAATAAGTCTTAATCCATTGGGCTAGCCCATTTAATTGGGCTAAAGTGATGAGTCCACTTTATTAAGCCCAAGTTGTCATCTTCCTAGAGGCCCAGTTTGGCGCCACGCGTCAAATGACATGGCGCGCCAAGTCAAACAAAAGAGCCAATGAGATCATGCCACGTGTCAAAATGATAAGGCATGCCAAGCCAAATTAAATGGCCAATGAAATCGCACCACGTGTGCAAGTGACATGTTCTGATCAATCAAATTGGGCTTTGTCACACTTCAATTTGATTGGTCGGAAAGAGTTTGTTCTTATCATAACTCTTCCCTCCCACAACTATAAATAGGGGTCTTCATGAAAAGAGATCAGAAGTTATAACAAGAAGCAAGAGGGAGCTCGTGAATCAAACGCCGCAGATTTCTCTAAAAGCTACAAGCATTCAAGTGTTCTAAGGAGTAAGGATTAAAAGATCAAGACGAAGATTCAAGAACAAGCTGCAAGCCCTTGGATTAAAAATACGTCAAGATCAAGATTAGGCCTCAAGCACTTGGATTAAAATAAATTAAAATTCAAGATCAAGCTCAAAGGCTCTTGAATTTATTTACTATTGGAAAGAAGAATCAGATGATTCATAGAGATTGTACACTCAAATATTTGAAATAAAATACTACGATTGTTGCAGTATTTTTCAGTCTCGATTATTTTTCTCGACCCAATTTATTGTCTACAGGTTTCATCAAAAATCTATATTTGTTATTTATCTTTTCTACACAATCGGTTCTCATTTAAATAGAGACCTTTTAAAAGCAAAACCTGGCTTCATCAAAAACCTATATTTATTGTTTGTATTTTTTGAAACATTTTAAATATTTTATGAAAATAATGGACTTGTTTATTTTTCTAAAGATATTTTATTATGAATTTTTTAGTTCTATTGTATTTATATTTTTATTTCATAAAACATATTTATGAATGCTTTTCTATCAATCATAACATTAGATTTCTTTCCATTATTTTGTTTTCACGTTTAAAATGGCAAGTGTTTTCCTTCACGCGAACAAATGTATGAAAAAACAACACAGAGATCATACTCCTCTCTCTTTTTTAATCTCCAAAATAAATAAAGGAAAAAAATCACTACTAGAAATTCGACAAAAACCGACCAAGATCGATCGACCAACTTTGGTCGGTAAAAAAACCAACCAAAGTTGGTCGGTAAAAAAACCAACCAAAGTTGGTCGGTTTTTCAAAATATTTTTTTTTATTTTTTTTTTTACGAAACCGACCAACTTTGGTCGGTTTTCTTTGGCGCAAAAATGCGAGAAACTATTTTTGAGTCCCGCGAAATTTATGTTTCAAGAAACCGACCAACTTTGGTTGGTTTTTCAATTAATATAAATAAAAATTAATATTAAAAAAACCGACCAAAATTGGTCGGTTAATTCGGCGGGTCATTTAAAAAAACCGACCAACTTTGGTCGGTAATTTTACTTTTTAATAAAACCGACCAACTTTGGTCGGTTATTTTCGTGCGAAAATACAATTAAAGAGTATAAATCAAATAAAAGACAGTCTTAAAACAAAATGTACCAATGGTCTAGTGGTAGAATAGTATCCTTCCACAGTACAGACCCCGGTTCGATTTTCAGATGGTGAATCTTTTTATTACATAATTAAAATACCGACCAACTTTGGTCAGTTTTTTTTGCAATATTATTTTTTTTTTGAATTTAATTGACCGACCAAAGTTGGTCGGTAATTTCCGACCAACTTTGGTCAGTTTTTTTTGCAATATTATTTTTTTTTTGAATTTAATTGACCGACCAAAGTTGGTCGGTAATTTCCGACCAACTTTGGTCAGTATTCCTTTACGACCACAAAAATATCGTCCACACGTAAATGATCGCGTTTTGGTCGATTTTTGGCCATTACCAACCAACGTTGGTCGGTTTTTTTGGTCGGTTTTCACCGGATTTCTAGTAGTGAACGAAACCCAAAACTGATTTTTATGATAGTAATATATGGATGTTAAGCTAAACCAACATATGAAAAGGAAAAAATGAACATCGCATGCTTCAGCATATACTAAGTAATGAAAGTGTTTTTAAATTTATTACACATGAAAAGTAGTCAATAATAAAAAATAATAAGTCAACCTGAATTTACTCCTGAATTTTTTGTATAAAATAATAATTGTGCTCCTGAATGTTTTGTCAACCACAAACAACACAAAAACAATCCTATAAATTAATAAGTCACAACATATATCGAAGGTGAAATAAGAAAGCCACGACAAGAAGAAATAAAAAAACAAAAGAAATAAGTTCATCCATACTTACCGGTGGAAGAAAAACATTCAGTGCAGGCACTTCTAAAATAATGAGGCAACATTGCAGCTAGTCATATATTTGGAGCTTCTTCAACAATATGTAGGAATCTTAAAGCATATGATATTTATGTGTTATTTTTGCCGGTATATTAGTGTTATCAAAATAGTGAATGATTTTATGGATATTTTGTAGAAATCTATCAAAAGAATGAGTAGTGACAATTTGTATTTTAGCTTTGGATAGTGACGATTTGTTTCTTTAGCTATTTGTTTCTATTTGGCTTTGTAAATGGAATGGTCGTGACTATTAATGAAGGGGTATGAAGCATTGTTTTGTGGGTTTTTTTATAGCGTAAGTTTTTTAACTTTTTGTTTTTGATATTTAGAATGGTATTTTAGTGATTTAACTTTTTGGTTTTGAGCTTTCCACTTTTAATCTAGTACTATTTTCTCGGCACGTGTATTGCATGTGTGTATCGAGTTCATTAATACACGTTATTACAAACTAACATTAAAATTATTAAAATAAAGTTTTAAGCAAGTATAAGTATACATGAAAGAATATAGTATAATTTTTTGTGAATGATCATTGAGGATCGTAGTCAATTAAATTGTTCGTCCGAACCTACAAAGATGAACAATCAAAGTATAATTACATACATGTGATTTGAATACCTATTTATGAATTTGAGGTTAATAACTTATAATTAAGTGTATCTCACCTAATACTTCCTTGTAGACGATATTCCTTGTGTATGTTTCTTCCATCAATTTTGGTTGTTCTGTTATAACCAGCACTCTTATTGTCGACATTGATATCTCTCTTGAAAGTGCAACGTAAAGTTGTCCATGTGAGAAAACATGTTATGGTAGATACAATCCAACATTAGGTATTATTTGTCCTTGTGCTTTATTTATTGTCATTGCACAACATAAGCGTACTAGGAATTGCTTCCGCACGAATTTGAAAGGATATCCTTCATTTTCAAGTGGACTAAGTTGGATTCTTGGAATAAAAACATGTTTCTTAGCTGATTGACCCGTTGTAATTTCGGCATGTATGACATTGTTGTCATATCCTCTCCAGATCATCCTTGTACCATTGCATAAGCCATTTGAAGGGTCCAAATTTCTAAGTAGCATGATGTGCACATTTTCTTTCAAAACTAACCTATTTAGGGGAATATAGATATGTTTAATTTTATTGGTATTTGTAAATTAAAAAGTATATACACACACACACACACNGTTAAAGTGTTGAGGTATTCTTCTTGAGAGTAGTTGTTGGTATTATTTTCTGTAGAGTCAAAACTAATAAATATCTTGCTTTCAGCTGGAAACTTGGCTATCAACATTTCATTTAGTTTATCTACAAATTCATTTCTACTTGCTAAGATAGCTCTTTCTGCTATGAACTATGCAGAACTAGCATTTTGATGTAGTGATGGAAATATTTCTCTTATCAAGCATTCCTCTGCTTTATCATCACTATTGTGTTTAATAACTATTTGTTCTGGAAGACATATTAAATTTTTCTTTACTGTTTGCTCATCCCAGCTACCAACACGAAGTAAGAAATTACTGAAATTTGGATCTGCTCTTGCTCTCATATTAGTTGTGAAATATATCTTTTTCATTAAAGGCCACAAATATGATTTCACTAAACTTGCGTTAACCGTCTCTGCTCTTGTAGATTTTGGAACAACTGGCAATACTTGTCGGAAATCGCCTCCAAAGACCATTACTTTTCCACCAAAAGGTACATTGACATCCATTATATCGCGAAAGCTCCTGTCAACTGTTTCAATTATTTGACACTTTTCCATGGGTGCTTCATCCCATATTATTAATTTTGCTTGTCTTATTAACTTAGCAACACCACTCTGTTTTGACATTTTTGTCTTAGTTGTATCATTTGTTTGAAGAGGTATGTCAAATCTAGAGTGACTTGTACGACCTCCTGATAATATTGTTGCTGCTACACCACTGGTTGTAGTTGCCAAAGCTATCATACCTTTTGATCTAACATTTGCTAGTAATGCACGATATAAGCATATTTTTCTAGTTCCCCCATGTGATGACCCAAAAGGTTATCTTTAAATTTAATAATTATTTTTATATTCTGAGACCTCAAACAGCACTACTCATCATTCTTCGACTTACGTGCGCAGTCCGTATAATTGTCTGAAAAGTTTTTATATGAAAAATTGATTAAAATGAGAAATAGAACCTTAAAACTCAACTGAGTTGACTTTGGTTAATTTTTTGAGCAAACGGACTCGAATTAGTATTTTGATAGTTCTGTTAGGTCCGTATCGTGATTTGGGATTTGGGCGTATACCCGGAATTTAATTCGGAGGTCCCTAGCTCGAGTTATCACATGTTGTCAAAATTTTTAAGTTTAAAGGTTTAATGACTTAAGAGCTTTGACTAATGTTTGACTTTGTTGATACCGGATTCGTATTTTGGTTCCATAATATGGTATAGCTCCATTACTATATTTATGACTTGTCTGCCAAATTTGGTGGGAAACGGAGCTGGTTTGTCGTGATTCCGGCGTCCGGTTGTTAAAATAGAAATTCTAAAGTTTCTTAAAAATTTCATTTGATTTGGTGTCAGATTCGTAGTTTTAGGCATTATTTTGGTGTTTTGATCGTGCGAGCAAGTTCGTATGATATTTTTGGACTTATGTGCATGTACGGTTTAGAGCCCCGAGGGCTCGGGTGAGTTTCAGATAGCCTACAGACCTTTTGAACTTTGGAAAAATCTAGTTTTTGAGCTTCAGCTGTCATCTGGTGCATAGTGCTTCGCGATCGCGAATAGGAAATTGTGAGCCGTATTTTTACCCTTCGCGCTCGCGAAGATAGGCACGCGATCGCGGAAGGTTAGCTCCCAGTGCACCGCGAACGCATAGAGTTGATCGCGTCCGCGTAGAAAAAATGAAGGAAGAAGCTGGGCACGCCATTTGTGCTACGCGATTGCACAAGTCAGTGCGCGATCGCGTAAGGCTGAGAAAATGTTCTCCGCGATCGCATGACCATTTACGCAATCACGTAGAGTTAAAAATCTGGGCATCCAAAATATGATTCGTGATCGTGAAGAGTAAAATGGAACTAGGCAAACACGTGCTACGCGATCGCGAAGGAATTTCCGCGATCGCATAAGGTAAAAACCTGGACAAACAGAACTTAAGTTCTGTAAATGGGATTTCGACCCATTTTCTACCATTTTCGATTTTGAGCTCGGGCAAGACGATTTTCGGGCGATTTTTACGGAAAAATATTGGGGTAAGTATTCCTCATCCTATATTAATTATATTTTATGATTTCATACTTATTTACATCATGAATCCGTGGATTTATGGAATAAAAATCAGTTTTTTATAAAATCTTCCAAAAATATAAAATTAAGATTTGAAGGTCAATCTGGTGTCGGAATTCGATAATTTTATTGAACTCGTATCGGAATGAGTGTTCAGATTTTGTGAGTTTTTTCGGGATTCAATACGTGAATCCCACGGTTGATTTTTGAGATGAATTTCAGATTTTAATCCGAAACAAAAATTAGTAAATTCATATGAAATTAATTTCTACGATTTGTATTGAATATATTGAATTGTTTATGACTAGATTTGAGGATTTCAAACCCTAATTCATGAGGCAAGGGTGTATTAGAAACTTGAATTTGGTTGCGATGCGAGGTAAGTGTCGTGGTTAACCTTGACTTGAGAGAATAGAACCCTTGAACTATTTGCTATGTGAATTTTATGTGTAACGATGTATAGGCAAGTGGCAAGGTGACAAGTGCCTATACTTTGTCAATTTAATTGTTTGCTTAATTATTTAAACATCTTAAATTATTTTAAGACATGAACTAATTGTTATAATAATTATTTCTCTCCTATTTCTTGTCAAATATTAATTCTTGAATTCCTGCAATAATTGTTACATGCTTATTTGATTTATATGTCTTAATTGCTACTTGACATTTAGCATATTAATAATTAAACTGCCTATTTTCTCCCTGATTTTCATAATTAATTGCTACTTGTCATTGTTTGTTTCATAAATAAATTATAATTATTGTATGCCTTGATGTTTAATAGTTTCTCATTGAACGTGGTATTTATTGTAGTATGTTTATTACATTTAAGAGTTGTTAAAATATATGGGGGGATCGGTTTGCACGCCGCAGCGGAAATAAAAATAAATATATTGGGGGATCGGGTTGCACACTGCAACAGAATTATTTAAAGTTTATATTATATTGGGGGATCGGGTTGCACGCTGCAATAGATTTATTTAAAGTTTATATTGTTGGAGCGGGTTGCACGCCGCAACAGAAATTTATTGAGGAATTATATTGTTGGAGCGGGTTGCACGCCGCAACGGAAATTTATTGAGGAATTATATTATTGGGGCGGGTTGCACGCCGCAACGAAATTTGATTGAAATAATAATTGGTTATAACTGCGGAGTTTACTTCAACTGTTAAAATGAGTTACCTGATTTATTTTTATTACTATTGTTATTATTATTATTATTATTATTATTATTATTATTATTATTATTATTGCGTACAGGTTAATGTAAGTGACTTGCCTTAGCCTCGTCACTACTTCATCAAGGTTAGGCTCTGCACTTACCAGTACATGGGATCGGTTGTACTGATACTACACTCTGCACTTCTTGTGCAGATTTCGGAGTTGGTCCTGGCGGCGTACTGTAGATTTGCCCAGATGCAACTACCAGTGGAGACTTGAGGTATAACTGCACATCGTTCGCAGTTCTGAAGTCCCCTTCTATCTTATCTTAGATGTGTATTATATTTTAAACAGCTCGAACTTTATTCAGACCTTTATTTATATTATTCTAGAAGTTCGTGCACTTCTGACTCCAATTCTGGGATGGTATTTAGATATCGCGTCTATTATGGATTATACACTTTATTTCAGATTCCATTTTCGCATTTGTTTTCTTTGTTATTAATTAATTTAAAATTGTATTAAAATGGCTGATTATATTCTAACGTTGGCTTGCCTAGCAAGTGAAATGTTAGGCGCCATCATGGTCCAGAAGTTGGGAATTTCGGGTCGTGATAGTTGGTATCAGAGTACTAGGTTACATAGGTCTCACGAGTCATGAGCAAACTTAATAGAGTCTGAAGGATCGGTACGAAGACGTCTGTACTTATCTTTCAGAGGCTATGAAGTTTAGGAACAATATCACTTATTTCTTATCATGTCGAGCGATTTTATTCTATCATCGATGATTGAACCATTCTATTCTTATTCTCTCGCAGATGGCAAGGACACGTAATACATCTACCGACGGACAGGGACCAGAGCCCCCGGTGGCAACTATGGCCAGGGTTAGAGGTCGAGGCCGAGGTAGTGCTAGAGGCCGAGGCTGAGGTAGAGCTTAGTCTAGAGCTCGAGCAGCAACACCTGTTGTAGAACCTCAGGTGGATCTTCAGGAAGAGGTTCCAGTTTAGAATGAACTAGTTGGATCAGTTCAGGTCCCGGAAGAACTCATAGCTACTCCAGTGCTTCAGGACGCTCTAGTCCGTTTGGTGAGTCTTATGGAGGGCGTGGCCCAGAATGGTACATTTCCTGTGGCACCAACCGTCTCACAGGCTGGGGAAGGAGCACAAACTCCCACTACTCCCGCTCCGGAGCAGATGACTCCCCAGAATCAGGCTCCAGCAGTCCCACCAGTTGGGGTAGTTCAGCCAGTTGTTGCGGCACAGGCCGGTGATAGGCCTACCATGTCATCTGAGGCCTTATTGAGACTGGATAAGTTTACTAAGCTCTTTCCAGTTCACTTCAGTGGTACACCTTCTGAGGACCCACAGGATTATCTTGACCGCTACCATGAGGTGCTGCAGAACATAGGTATAGTTGAGACCAATAGGGTCGATTTTGCTGTATTTAGATGATGGGTTCCACCAAGATATGGTGGAGAGATTATACATTGACCAGACCAGTTGGATCGCCTGCATTGACCTGGGAGTAATTTTCACGGCTATTTCTAGAGAAATTCCTCCCTATCATATTGAGAGAGGATTACCGCAGGCAATTTGAGAGTCTACAGCATGGAAGTACGATTATTACTCAGTATGAGTCTCGTTTTGTGGATTTAGCCTGTCATGCTCTCATTTTACTACCTAATAAGGGAGAGAGAGAGTGTGAGGAGGCTTATTGAGGGACCCACTCACCCTATCAGGATTCAGATGGCCAAGGAGATCGGAAGTGAGATTTCCTTTCAGGCGGCTGCTAATGTCTCGAGGAGGATCAAGATGGTTCTTGCACAGGAGAGAGGACAGGTCTCGGATAAGAGGCCTTGTCAGTGCACATTCAGCTCCTATCAGTGCACCACTACTCCAGAGTCACTATAGCGGTTATCCGGCCCATTCGGGTCAGCTTCAGCTTCAGCAGCCACGACATCAGGATGGGTGTTATAAGTATGGGAACATTGGTCACATAAGGAGGTATTGCCCTAGGTTGTCGAGTAACAAATCTCGGCAGGATTCTCATGCCATCATACCGGCACCAGTTGCTTCACCGCCTGCTCAGCCAGCTAGAGGTAGGGGTCAGGCAACTAGAGGTGGATGTCAGACCGTTAGAGGTGGAGTTTAGCTAGTTAGAGGCTATCCCAGAGACATAGTTCAGAGTGGTAGGGCCCAGCCCCGATTTTATGCTTTTCCAGCTAGGCCTGAGGCCGAGTCATCCGATAACGTGATTACATGTATTATTCCAGTTTTCCATAGAGATGCTTCAGTTCTATTTAATCCATGATCTACTTATTTCTATATGTCCTCCTATTTTGCTTCAGATTTGGTTGTGCCTCGTGATTCTCTGAGTGCTTCTGTGTGTATCTACACCTGTGGGAGACTCTGTTGTAGTAGACCATGTCTATCGTTCATGTGTGATTACTATTGGTAGGCTTGAGACTAGTGTGGATCTTCTACTTCTTGATATGATAGATTTTGATGTCATCTTGGGTAAGGATTG